GAGGAATATGTGGGATGCTGGGAATCAAACCCAGGTTGGCCGAATGCAAGGCAAACGCCCTACCTGCTGTGCTATCGCTCCAGCCCCTGAAAACCTTTCAATTCATTATCTTAGGTAACCTTTCTTGCCAAGGGAGACCGAGACGGAGAAAGTCTGCCCAAGAATTTCTTCTGCTGAGAAGAAAGTGTGCGCTTTGCATACAGGCATCTTGGGTTTGATCCCCGGCACCCCAGAGATCCCCAAGCCCACGCCCTCCCCGGGAACAACCAACAAGCAGTGAGCCAGGAGTAGCCCCCAACACCACCAGATGGAGACTAATCCTGCCCCCCCAAAGACAAAGAATCCCGGGGGCCAGAGAGAAGGTACAGCGGGGAAGAGGCTTGCCTTACACATGGTAGACTCTGGTTCAACCCCTGACAGTGCCAGGGAATCCTTTGAGCATTGCCAGAAGTAACCTTAGCACAGAGCCAGGAGTGACTGACCTCTGAGCACTGCCAGCTGTGCCCCCCCCCTTCTTCCGGCACCTCCCCCAAGAAAAGAATCGTGCTCAAGGCCACATGGGCAGAAAAAGTAACCTGGAGTTAGGCGCTGAGAGTTGGCACCAAGGGTCCCTGCTACTTCGCAGACATTTCTCCAGCTCTGCCTGTCAGCGTCTGGGGCCAGACTGTCTCGGGGTCCTCCTGCTCAGAAGCGTTTCCAGCACCCCCACCCTGTGGCCTCTGTGACTCAGTAAAGCCTGGCGCTCGTGGCCTCCCTGGGAAAGCCCGGGCCTGAGCCTGGGCTGCCCCAAGCTTCCTCGGCCCCATCCCAAGGCCCCGTGCGATGCCATCGCATTTCCGTCGCCAAGGAAGATCAGGCAAGCAAGCTTCATGAATCATGGTTCTGTTTATATTTTGGTTGCCGAGGCTAAATATTTATTGCTTTAAGTAAGAGGCTCTGCCTTAATTCAAGTCATAACTAACCACAAGTGCCCTGGGTCGCCTCCCCCTACCCCGGGCTGTGCACTCGTCCACACCAGGCCTAGCACAGGGAGCCCTCAGACGCTGCCCGGGGCTGCTGATCAAAGTATTAAGAGTTATCACATATACCTTTGGAAATCAAAAGTGCAGAGACGTTTAATTTATGGTCTTATCGAGGGCTCTTATATAATTTCTGTGATTCACCTTTGTGATCCCGTGGCATAGGGACAAAGGTGTTGGCAATATTAGAACCCCGATTTGAAAAAGACAGGAGCCAGAGTGATAGTACAAGCGGGGAGGGTGTCTGCCTGGCATGCGACTGGCCTGGGTTCGATCCCCGACATCCCAGATAGTCCTCTGAGCACTGCCAGGAGTAATTCCTGGGTGTAGAGCCAGGAGTAACCCCTGAGCATTGCCAGGTGTGACCCAAAAACCAAAAAGAAAAAGAAAAAAATAGGACATAAGCCACATTGTGTCTTGAGATGCATTGCATGTGTCTATCTCCAGATATATCTACCTCAGCCTCCTTCCAGAAAAGGACCCTCCTGGTGAGCGATGAGGAGTTTTAGGAGGTAACTGATGAACAGACCCACTCAGCCCAACTGAGTCCCACTGTCAGGAAGGGGACCTTGGCTTTGGGATCCTTTGAAAACTCCTCTTGGGACTGGAGAGAACACTGAGCACAAGCTTTGCATACAGGAGCCCCCAGATTTGATATCTGTCCCCAAATGGTCCCTGAGCGTCATGGCAGCAGCCCCCTACACATTATTAGATGTAGACCCAAACAAAAAAATTAGAAACTCGGGTTGGGAGAGATAAGCAAGGTGGTTCAAATTCTGCTGAAGCCAGGAAGATGCAGCCTGTGTTGACAATACCCAGAGACCTCCCCCCGCGTTTTCCCCTCCTGAACCAGCCACATCGAGGGGCTTCTCCCTGCCAGCCTTCTCCTCTCTTTCCCCCGGTACCGGGAGATTTGCATATGTTCACCCTAAGAACATATCAGCGTTTGATCTACTGTGTATCCCCTGACCCGCCAGCTTCCAGCCCTCCTGAAACGGGACAGACACAGAGACAGGGTGAGGGGTGAAGGAAAAGGAATCTGGGAGGTCGGTCTGTGACACAAGAACAACATGAAAGAGGCTGAAGTGATAATACAGCGAGGAGGGCTTTTGCCTTGCCTGTGGTGAACCTGGGTTTGATCCCCAATATCTCATAGGGTCCCCCCAACACTGCCAGGAGTCATTCTTGAGTGCAGAGCCAGGAGTAACCCCTGAGCATCGCCAGGTGTGAACCAAAAAGCAGAAAACATAAACAAAATCAAAATAAAAGAACAACATGAAAGATGGGGGCCAGAGTGATAGTACAGTTGGGAGGGTGTTTGCCTTGCACGTGGTGGACCTGGATTCAATCCCCAGCATCCTATATGTTTCCCTGAATATCGCCAGGAGTAATTCCTGAGTGCAGAGCCAGGAGTAACCACTGAGCATTGCTGGGTGTGGCCCAAAAAGCAAAAGGCAGAAACAAAATCAAAACAAAACAAAAGAACAACATGAAAGGTTGGGGAAGACAAGAGGTTAGGGCCAGAGTGATAGCACAGTTAGGGAGGGCGTTTGCCTTGCATGTGGCAGGCCCAGATTCCATCTCCAGCATCCCAAATGGTCCCCCAAGCACTGCCAGGAGTAATCCCTGAGCATCATCGGGTGTGACCCAAAAAGCAAAAAAGCAAGAACAGGAACAAAATCAACCCCCCCCCCAGGACAATATGAAATATTGAGGAAGACAAGGGGCGCCCCAGTGGGGAGACCAGAGAGTGCAGGATCCCCAAGGACAAAGCTGTCCTTCTCCCAGACTCGGCTCTGACACCCAGGCTCTGTGTCTGATGCTCTGCGAACTGCCGGTGGACCCCACAAGGCCTGCGTCATGGATGCAGTCTTCCCCTGATCAGGCTGAACAAGCACGTGTGTTAGAATAAGGTCCCCCACAGTCAGGCCCATCGATGGGCTTCGTGTCCTGTTCCCACCCCCAGGCCCAGAGGTCTCATGCCCCAATAGAGCAGAGTACAGCCTGAGTTGGCTTCTCCCCATGGACCCTGAAGCCATGTGGGCGCTGTGCCCCACTGCCCCCCAGCTGCTATCTGGCGGGGGGCACTGCTCTATGTGGGTGACTCGTGGGCCCTGAATGTCCATCAGAGAGACACAATTCCCGCTGACCCCCAACCCACACAGGAAGCGCATCTTGGGGCTATTTGTGGACCAGGTCAAAGGGCATCCCATTTAGCCTCCAACACGCCACTCGGTTTGGAGAGCACCCCCACCCCCCACCCCACCCAGCACACTACACATCCATCCGTACGGCACGCGTTGTTCGGTGTTACGTTCCTTCCTCCGACACTTGGGGGACTCCCCAGCCAGTTAGGAGAAAATCCCAAGAATGCCGAGCATTTCCCTTGTGGCGTGTGAGGCCAAGAGACATCAAAGGTTTGGGTTTGCAGAGCGACAGAAGCCTTGGCTGAGGGGGTGCCCCCCACCCCTCTCGTCATCGCTTCCTTCTTCACGCCGGCCAAACCCGGGGGAGTCACTGGAGCGCGGGGAAGGGTGAACCGCAGCCAGCCTCGGCCTTGGAAGAGCCTCTTACACGCTAACTTGGTGGAATCTTTGGCTCCCGCGAGCGGGAGGGTGGGGTGGACGAGGGGGTGGAGGGCTGGTCATGGTTAGTTCCATGCAACATGTCTTCAGGATGTTTCCATAAAACATGAGCTCATTGCTTCCAAGCCGTCATCGTCCTTCGATCGGTGGTCCCTCGAGGCGGTTATAAAAATAACTCCCTGAATGACCTGAGTGGAAATAAATAGATTGGACGGCGATTGTTTTTACCTCCCCTCGAGCGTCTGGAGGCATTACGAAGGCGCCCGCAGCGTGAGAACAAGTCGTTAATTCAAGGAAAGGCAACACAGTGAACTGAAAACAAAACACAACTCTCAGATCCATGCCTGGTCAGTTGTTGGGCAGATCAAAGAGGCGGAAGAGTTTCCTCCCCAACCCCCATCTCCCTGCCCCTCCTCAGTAAGCCTCATGGATGATCAGCATGGTCAGTATGATAGAAAGCAGCGTCCCTGGGGTCAGAGCCATAGTCTGTGGGGGCAGGCATGTGTCTTGCATGTGGCCGACCCAGGTTCAAACCCCGGCTCCCATATGGTCCCCCGAACACTGCCAGGTGTGATCCCTGAGTGCAGAGCCAGGAGTAACCCCTGAGCATCGGCAAGTGTGGCTCTAAAAGCCCCACCCCTCAAAAAAAGAGAAAAAAGTAAAGAGAAAGAAAGATTCTCTTGTGCTGGGTGCCAGAGTGAGGCAGCCCCATGATATGGAGACCCAGGAGACCTCCCCCGAAAGACGGAAAGTGTCAGGAGAGAAAAGTAGATGATTCAGTTTAGTGACGAAGACAACGGCTATATCTAGTTAAAGAGCATCTTCCAAATCACTAATGCTCGCCCGTTCCCAGACATCAGCAGTGCCTATAAGAAGTCACTCCCCGTAGGCCAGAGCTATAGGCCAGCGGGGAGGTTGTTTAGCCTTGCATGTGGCCAACCCAGGTTCCATCCCTGGCATCCCATAAGGTCCCCCAAGCATTGTCAGGAGTAACTCCTGTGCATCGCTGGGTGTGACCCAAAAAAAGGAAAAAAAAAAAAAACAACCAGAAGTCACTCCCCACGGGCCCAAGTGATTGTCCAGCAGGGAAGGCATTTGCCTTGCATGTGGCCAATCTGGTTTCGATCTCTCGCATCCCATTTGGTCTCCTGATCCTCACCAGGAATGCAGAGCCAGGAGTAACTCCTGACAATAAATAGAAATAAAAAAGAAGTCACTCCTGAAGGGTAATGCCCAGAATCTCTTGGAGAGGTCCAGGAGAGAGGGCCCTTGTCCCTGATCTGGAGAATTTTAACCGCCTTGCACAAACTCTCTCTCTCTCTCTCTCTCTCTCTCTCTCTCTCTCTCTCTCTCTCTCTCTCTCTCTCTCTCCCCCATCTTCTCTCTCTCCTCACAGGGGGAAGTTCAGCCAAGCAGACCACGTGGGAAGGAGGCCACCGGGTCCCGTCTCTGGCTTACTGGCCGGGCACCATCCCTACCAATGTCACCAGTATGGCCTTGCTAAGGTAGGAGAGCCCAAATTCCCAGAGTGGGTGGGGTGTAGAGAAGAGATCCTTACGGGGTAGGGGGTGGGGGCAGCCGTCTCTCCGCTCCCTGTCCCTCTGCTGCCCTGGGGTCATCTCTGTGCCAAAGGCCTGCCTGGGGAGGGGACAGGGACCCTCTCTTCAGACAGGGGCTTCCTCTCTGGGTTCCCTGTACCTGCTGTTAAAGGGAAGCCCCCCAGGAAACCCAGGACTGGAGCATAGGCCCAGAGCTTGAGCGTTGGTTATAGGTGGTTAATTGTAGATGTTAGTCGTAAATGATCAGTTGTAGATGATTAGTTGTAGATGATTAGTTGTAGATGATTAGTTGTAGATGAGTACTTGTAGATGATCAGTTATGATGGTCAGTTGCAGATGGTCAGTTGTAGATGGCCAGTTGTAGATGGCTAGTTGTAGGTGGCTAGTTGTAGATGATCAGTTGTAGATGATCATTTGTAGATGGTTAGTTGTAGATGGTCAGTTGAAGATGATTAGATGGTTAGTTGTAGATGGTTAGATGTAATTGATCAGTTGTAGATGATCAGTTGTAGATGGTTAGTTGTAGATGGTCAGTTGTAGTTGCTTCTCTGCTGTTCTCTGTGGTGGTGTCTGGCCTGCAGACTCAGCCTGGGTGGGTGGTCCAAGGAAGCTGCCCCACCCTGAGGTGTGCTGAGACCCGGGTTTGTGGAGTAGAGGGGGAAGCTCAGTGCAAAGGGAGGTGAAGAGCCCTGATAGCCAGAGGCAGGGATTGCCCTTGGGGGGTGCCAGGCAGCACACAGGCCGAGACCCAACCTGGACAGGGTACCCAGGCTGGCGGGAAGTGGCGTGAGAGGCGCTTTTCCCGGGGCTGACTCGGCATTATGCAGTCAAGTGTCTCGGCCGGCCAGCAGGCCAGTGACAGTGGAAACGGGGAGCTGTCTTTCTTCTTGGAGCACGCACCCTGGGAAGTTGGCATCATCTGGGGGACCCCCGAGGTGGCACCTGACTGGACGATGGGGCGGTTTCAGGAATCTCAGGGACCATGTCTGGGTAAGGGGTGATCTTTGCGGGAGGCCCCTGGGAATTGCAACTGCCAGGCCCTGTAGGGCACTTTGGGGTTCCACCTCTGTCTGGGCCGGAGCAGACTGGTCTGTCTCCACGGAATCAACCTCCTTGTTATTTCCCATTAGTCTGTGGACAGGACCGCAGGCAGCTTCTTCTTACTGCCTGGATACCTCCGAGGGATCGCTGGGACAAACCATCTGCCCCCTGGCCCTCTCCCTGCCTGCCCCATCCGTAGAACCCAGTCCCTCCCCAGACAACCCTTCTTTCCCGTTACTTCCTGTCTGCAAACCCATTTTGCTTTGGATCCACACCCAGCTGTGCTCAAGGGGTCACTTTGGGCAGTGTCACAGGGTTGTAGGTGGTGCCCTGGATCAAACCAGGGTCAGCCATGTACAAATAAGCACCACCCCCTCCACTCCGAGCTATCTCTCCAGCCTCAAGTCACACCCCCTTTTCCTCCCCTCAAGTGACCCCAGCTTCTAGGGGCATCCACCCTCCCCTCACCCCTTCCTTTGCCCTGGGATGGCCCTCACCTCCTCTACCCCGAGGAAGCCCAGAGCGTTCTCTCTTCCCTCCATGTGAGTCTTGGGGTCCGGACTGCTGAGTTGGGGGCAACCCCCCTTCTGCTGCCCGGTTGCCCCCCAGAAATGGATTCTTAAGAAGAGCATGAGGGTCCAGGCCGGGCTGGTGTCGGTTTCCTGTGTGGGGGTCCCTGGTCTCCCAGACGTGGCTGCTTCTGTGGTTTTTAGCACTGTGACTGCCACCGTGCAGCAAAGTAGGGTGCAGCCCTCACCCCCCAGAGGGCAGGGCCTGCCAAAGGCCAGCTACTTCCTCGTCAAACCAGATGAAGGACTGGGTGACTGAGGAGCACTTTGGTCAGATTAAGCTCAGGACTGTGGGTGCCAGAGCCCCTTCCTGCCCCTCCAGGACTCAGCTCAGGGACTTTCATTTTTCTTTCTTTCTTTCTTTCTTTTTTTTTTTTTTTTTTTTTTTCTTTTTGGGTTATAGCCGGCAGTGCTCAGGGACTCCTCTTGGCTCATGTACTCAGGAATAACTCATGGAGGTGCTCAGAGGACCATACGGGATGCTGGGAATTGAACCCAGATTGGCCGCGTGCAAGGCAAATGCCCTACGCACTGTGCTATTGCTCCAGCCCCTCAGGGACTGTCTTGCTCTCTCTTGTCATGAAGGTTTTTGACAGCCCACAATCCCCTCACCATTCTCCTCACCTCAAACTTAAGTTATCAGAGAAACTTCTCCTGGGCCAGAGTTTTCTCTGTGTTCAGGCCTGGGAATGTGTGTGTGTGTGTGTGTGTGTGTGTGTGTGTGTGTGTGTGTGTGTGTGTGTGACTCAGCAGTGCTCAACCATTTCTCCTGAGTCTCTACTCAGAGTTCCCTCCTGGTGGTGCTCAGGGAAACCGAGGGGCATGAGCTTGGCTTGACTGCAATCGGGGCACCGTAGGCACTTACCACTGCACCATCTTTCTGGCCCCAGGTTTGGCTCCTTTTCTTGTAGGCTTGTTTTTAGAGCCACACTTGACAGTGATCAGGGCTGACTCCTGGCTCTGTGCTCAGGGTTGACTCATGGCGGGCTCAGGGGCCCACATGAGGTGCCGGGAATCCAAGCCGGGTCAATTGGGCCAACTGTGTGGCAGGTAGAGCCCGATCCGCTGTGCCATCTCTCCCGCCCCATGCCTGGGCACTTCCAAGTAAGCTTCCTGCCTACTCCAGTGGAATCCATGGGGCCTAGTGCTGTCTCCATAGGAAGTCAGCCTGGGGTCAGAGGAGAGAGTGTGAGGTAGAGACAGCAGGTTTCTAGAATGTTCCGTGGCAAGAACCTTGGACTCTGGGCGGGTTGCTAGAATGTTCTGTACCCTGCAGCTGCTTACTCCACACTCCTTGTCTCTGCACAATGTGGGACTGACTCCTGGAGCATGAGTTTCCCTGAGATAAGCCACTACTCTGTGACGGAGCTGGAAGCTGATGGCTCCCTGGGGGCACCCCCGCCCCCACTGAGGAGGACAGAGGTGGTGGGGTGGGGGTGGGCGCTGCAGGCACAGCCCAGGGTGGGGGGAGAAACGGGGTCCCACCCACAGGTCCCTTGTGTACACAGGGGAGGCGGGGCAGAAGACTGCACCCTGCATCTGCTTGCAAGCCCCTTGCCTCGACCCTCCCCCTGACTCTTTGCTCAGGAGAGACCCCTGCTGGACCGTGGGCGGTCCCAGGAATGGAACTGGGGTCTACAGTTTGTCAGGGAAACGCCTTCACCCCTGTTCTCTCTCTTTGCTCCCTCCCATCATCTTGAAGAAAACTGCACCCTGTGACTTAAAAAAAAAAAGCAAAACCACACCCCATGACTTCAAAACAAAAGCAAAACCGCACCCCATGACTTAAAAACAAAAGCAAAATTGTTTTTTTTCAAAGAGGACCTGGGACAGTGGTACAGGAGATAAGGTACTTGCCTTGCTTGGCACTGCACATAGTTCCCTGAGCCCCACCAGGAGTGACTCCTGAGCAATGAGCCAGGAATAAACCTTGAGAACCTCAGGGTGTGGCCCCCACATCCCCATCAAAAAAAAAAAAAAAACCAATTCCCATGAAGAAAATCTGCTTCAATATGACTTCCGTTTTTTGGGGGGGGGGGGGGTCAGGCAGGAACTATGCATGTGAAACTTTCTCTCTTCTATGCCTGGGAAGTCTTTTCTTTTTTAATCTAAAAAATATTTATTTTTTAAAAAATTTTTATTAGTGAAACACCATGAGGTATAGTTGTAGACTTACAAATTTTTGTGCTTGGGTTTCAGTTATACAATGATCGAACACCCATCCCTTCACCAGTGCCCTTTCTCCACCCCCACCAATCCCAGTATCCCTCCTACCCCCCATCCCCCCCATCCCACCCCGCCTCTGTGGCAGGGCATTCCCTCTTGTTCTCTCTCTCCTTTTTGGGTACTGTGGTTTGCAACAGATCCTTCCAGGATGGGAGATCCTTGCTGAGAGCAGACTGTGGACTGAAAAATATTTATTCATTTGTAATGAAAGAAAGAAAAAGAGCCTCACGGCAAGCCCCTTGAGCCGCCCCTGGCCCCTGTGTGTGCCACAGAGAACAGGAAACTGAGCAAGAAGCCAGCAGGGCTGGGGGTGGTCCGGGTCACCCCATGTGGCCCCCGGGCGCTGGGGCCCCAGGAGGGACCCAGGAGCAACCTGAAGGGCAGGCCAGGCAGGCCAAGGTGGTGTTGGTGTGTGGGGTCCGGGGGGGACTCACAGCCTCTTGTTCTGCCCGCAGTGTGCTGGACGTGTTCCCCACCGTGCTGGCCCTGGCTGGAGCCAGCCTCCCCACAGGCCGGCGCTGGGATGGCCTGGACGTATCCGAGGTGCTTTTCGGCCGGTCTCAGCTGGGACATAGGGTGAGTGGAGAGGCCCTGCCCCAGCTCTGGTGTTTGTGCCAAGGGGGCGTCTTTGGCCCAGTGGCTGTGACAGAACCAGCGGAGAAGGCCCTCCCTCAGGATGACCCCTCTTCCCACTTCCCTCTGCTCTTCTCCTGCCAGTGTCCTGACCCTTCCTGAGACCCTCCCATCACCCTGAGTCCCCTTCCGTCACTCTGAGTCCCATTCCATCACCCCAACTTCCCTTTCATTACCCCAAGTTCCCTCCCATCACCCCAAGTCCCCTCCCATCACCCCGAGTTCCCTCCCATCACCCCAAGTCCCCTCCCATCACCCCAAGTTCCCTCCCATCACCCCGACTTCCCTTCCATTACCCTGAGTCCCCTCTTGTCACCCCGAGTCCCCTCCGTCACCCTGAATCCCCTCCCATCACCCCGAATCCCCTCCCGTCACCCCGAGTCCCCTCCCATCACCCCGAGTCCCCTCCCATCACCCCGACTCCCCTCCCATCAAACACTGGTGGCTGTGCTGGGAACTGAAAGTTTTTCCCCACCCTTCGCTTTTGGCCACAGGAAGAGGACATGGGAGGAGAGATGGTGGGAGAACCCCCCGCCCCATTTGAAAGGGATCGCCTCCCACTAAAGATTTTATTGCTGTTCTTCTTGGGGCAACATGGGAGGGACATGGATGCTGCCCACTTGTACGGGGGCTCCCCGAGCTGCTGTCCTGCCCGCTGCCCGGCAGCCCAGGACACAGCCTTGGGGTGGGGGGTGCGCCTGCAGGGCACCTACCAGCTCTGCCATGCGTTCTGGGGTCTCCAGACATGACTGGCAGCTCCTCAGTGCTGTCAGGTGCTCCTGGAATATCCGACTCTCTGGGCTGGGTCCGAGCAGCCAAGGAAGCCGGTTTCCGCTTCCTGTGGCTGGAACGGGAACAGCCGAGAGCCACGTCCGTGAGGGACCTCTGAGTGTTTCTCCCCATAGCTCCACACAGAATAATAGGGGTCAGCAGAACACGCCTCAAGGGCTCCCTGACATTGCCAGCTGGCCCTCTGGCAGACTCAGACGGGACCCTGGCCCTGGGACTTGACGGAGAAGGGGCCCCATGAAGGAGGTTGGACCCCCCAGCCAGCAAGGAGCCCCAGGCCGCAGGCGCGCCGGGTGTGGGGTGTCCCGTGGGAGGTGTGGTGCAGAAAGGCGTTCCAGGGGACTTGCTCCCCTCAGCACGTCTCAGGACCCAGCGGGAAACACTCCAGATCGTGGCTAGCCGCCAGAAGTTGCTGGTGAAAACTTCCAGAGTCACAGAGCAAGGGTGCTGCCACCTGGGTCACATCCCCCTCCCAGAACACTGGACTTCGGTAATGCTCGCCATGACCAGCGAGATAAGATTGTTGGGAGGTTGAAGGCAACCTAGCTCAAAGTTGGTCATGAGCTTGGCCTGGGTCTTCTCTCGGCAGAGGATGGGGGCTTGTCTTGGGTCTGCGCCGATGAGATGCACATCTCCACGTGCTTTCTAGAGAACCACATGCAAGGCATGTGCCTGCCCAAATCAATGCTCAGAGACACTCTCCCGTTTACACAGACACCCTCTCCAGGGTTCGTGGGTCTTTTTGTTTTTATTTTGCTTTTTGGATCACACCCAGCGATGCACAGGGGTTACTCCTGGCTCATGTACTCAGGAATTTCTCCTGGTGGTGCTCAGGGGACCATATGGGATGCTGGGAATTGAACCCGGGTCAGCTGCATGTAAGGTAAATACCCTCCCCGCTGTACTATAGCTCCAGCCCCAGGGTTTGTGTTTTTAAGGGGCCTTTTGGGCATGGTGCTCTGGGCTCACTCCAGGCTCTGTGCTCAAGGGTTCCATCAGGCTTGACCCTGGTCTGGCCTTTCTGCACCTTCATTCCTGTCCAGCCACCCCAGCCCACCCTTTGATGGGCTTGACCCGCAACATGCCCTGAGTTTATAAGGATCTAATAGAACAGAGTCTGGTTTAGGAACATGATGGCAGGGGCAGGAAGTTCCGAGTAACGCCTGTGTCTGCTTGTGCCACGTGCAACCCGTTGGCTCTTGTGCAAATGAAGAAACCAGTAAGGGAAAGGTGAGCAGCCAGGGGGCCTGGAACCTGGTGCACGGTGGCCCTGCAGATAGGCAGAGATGCCCCAGAGAAGCCTGACCACGGGGCTTCCTCCAGCTGCTGTCTTGCTCTGCAGGGGCATGTGGTCTTTGTGTGGGTTAGAACCCATAGCAGACTCCAGGGAGTCTGTCTCTCACCGATGTCCCCTCTGATGAAGCCACCTGCCAGCCCCTAGGGGGTACAGGCCAAGCCCCAGAACAGCCACTAAAGGGAAACCTTGCTTCCTGGTTCTGCCTCTGCCAAACCAGTTTGGGGCGGCTGGGGCCATAAAACACTGGGCACACCCTGACAAGGCTGTACCTTGAGGAAACCAAGGCAGGGGTGGCCATCCCCGGAACACCCATAACTTCTTGTAGGGAGGCCCCTAGCGGTGACAGATGACAGTGAAGGGAGCTGCGTCCCCCACCTGATGGGGCTGGGGGCTTGGTAAAGGGGAGAAGCCCTCCTTCTGGATGGGGGGGAGGGAAGCGGGCAAAACCAAAGACAGCCAAGCAAACAGGCTACGAACTGGAGATGCAAGTGATGTCTGAGGTTCAGACCCTCTTCCCCGAGCCCAGAAATGTCTCCAGCTGCGGCCAGTGTGCACCTTTTGCCAACCTCCTTCCTCTGAGGCTCTAACCAGAAGAACGTCAGAGCCGCTTGGAGGGAAAACACGGCAGGCAGATGTGGGTTGCGCCCCGGCCACTTGCTTTCCTGGAGAGAAGAGCCGACTTGAAGCTTCTGCCCCCTCCTGGCTGCTGCCTAAATTTCTTGGGGCTGGCGGCACCCTCCTGTCACACACCTGTGCGTGTGGGCGCGCGTATACACACACAGACAGACAGACAGACAGACAGACACACACACACACACACACACACACACACACACACACACGTTCCAGGATTTCTGTTGGTGCCAATCCAGGCCCTGATTGAAACTGGCAGCCTTGGTGTCTTGAGTGCATCCCCGGGGACCCGCGGACAATGGGGCTTCCTGAGGGGACGGCGAATGGCCTCCTGCTGGCCCAGGCTGGCTTCCTGTGGGGTCTAAAGGACAGAGTTCAGGGAGCCGCTTCTTTTCCTGCTGTCCGTGGGCAGGCTGGCAGTGAGCTGGTGGCTATCGCCATGGAGTCCCCCGGAAGCCACAGGTGTGGGGACTGCCGCAAGACAGCTGTTGACTGCTCCTGCAGATGTTTCTCATTGAGAAAAGTATCTTTAGCCCCGGTGGAAACTTTGAATCAGGCCAGTGCCTGCCTCCGGCTCTCTATCAGTCATGATTCATCTGATTCATCCCGTGGGGGTTGAAGCTTCCCAGGCCAAACCCAGCGAGCTCCCGGCGACGCTGTTCATCACGAACCTGGGATGAGCTGACTCCCTGCCCTGCTGCCCTCCGCGACCCGGGGAACCCCACACCTTCCACAGGTGACCTGTGCCCAGTGCCACAGAGGTGGCAGCATCTCGTGCTGTCGAGCTCGAGGGAGATAATGGATGTGATGGAAAGACAAGAGGTTACCTGCTAGAGTGCCGGGATGGGGCAGCTCTGCAGAGGGAGCAGAGGGCGGCGTTCCCTGCCCAGGACATGCACACCTGGGGGAAAGACAGCACCAAAGACAGCACAGGGGACCCACACCTGAATGGAAGAAGCCCCTGGGAGGGCTTTTTGGGTCACATCCGGCGATGCACAGAGGTTACTCCTGGTTCATGCACTCAGGAATCACTCCTGGTGGTGCTCAGGGGACCGTATGGGATGCTGGGGATGGAACCCGGGGTGGCCACATGCAAGGCAAACGTCCTACCCGCTGTGCTATCGCTCCTGCCCCCTGGGAGGGTTTTGTTTGTTTCTTTGACTTTTGTCTTTTGGGACCACAGCTGGCAGGGCTTAAGGTGCCAGCCGATTGGCACAGGGTCAGCCATGTGCAAGGCCAAGTACCCTCCCCTTGGTGGCATCTCTCTGGTTGTCTGCCGCCCGCCCCATGCTGAGAGTAAGAGTGGAATCCCTGATGTTCTCCACTCCAGATCCCCAGAGCAAAGAAGCGAGAGATTGCAGGGCAGACCACCATGCATGGCTATATAGAGCTCGGGGCGAGGCAGAGCGGCTCAATAAAAGGTTAATTAAGAAAACGTGGGTTGGTTTAGGTTCAGGAAGGCATTGGTGGGGCTGGAGCGATAGTACAGTGGGGACAACGTTTGCCTTCTTGCATGTGGCTGAGCAGGGTTCAATCCCTGGCATCCCTTGTGATCCCCCAAGCACTGTCACGAGTGATGTCTGAGTGCAGGGCCAGGAGTAAGCCCTGAGCAGGGATGACTCCCCACCTGCAAAAAAAAAAAAAAAGAAAGAAAGAAAAAGATGGCAATGATGCTGCCGATCCTTGTGGTAAGACTTCCCTTATGCGTGGCCCTAGGTGCTACAACTTGGCCACAGGTGCTAGAATCTGATCAGCGCCGTCACCCACTCTGAATCCACACAAGAGAGCGCCATCAGAGGGGCGGTGGGCGGGGGGCTGCCAGCCCTGGGGTGGGAGGCGCGGGCAGCGGGGCTTGTGCTGGTCTTCGGGAGAGGCAGGTTTGTTTCTACCAGTTGGCTCTGCTGTTCCCCCAGGTGCTGTTCCACCCCAACAGTGGGGCTGCAGGGGAGTTGGGAGCACTTCAGACTGTTCGCCTGGAGCACTACAAGGCCTTCTACATCACGGGTGAGGGCACGGGTGGGTAGTGGGGTGTGTGGGTGTGTATATGTGTGTATGATGTGTATGCATGTGTGTTTGTGTGTGTATGCATGTGTATGTGTATATGCGTGTATGTGTGTATTATGTGTTATATGTGTATGTATGTATGACGTGTGTATGTGGTATGTGTGTATGTGTGTATGTATGTGTGGGTACGTGTGGGTCTGTATGTGTGGGTCTGTAGGTATGTGTATTTGTGTATGAGTAGGTCTGTGTGTATGTGTGTACGAGTGTGTATGTGTGTGTTTATGTGTGTATGTGTGTATGTGTGTATGTGTATGTATGTACGTGTATATATGTATTGTATGTATGTGTTATGTATGTGTGTATGATGTGTATGTATGTGTATGTGTGTATGATGTGTGTATGTATATATGTATATGTATGTATGTGTGTATGTATGTGTTATGTGTGTGTGTGTGTATGAGGGGTCCCTTAGATCTGCCTTGGTGCCTTCCCAGCCCACGTCCTGCTCAGGGCCTTCGGCCCCGGGAACCCTCCAGCACTCGACCCAGAGGCCCCTCTGTGGTTTGCCAGCCCTGAAGCTCCACAGTCCGGCGGGAACACGCCCTGCCTCCTCCCCCTGCTGGTTGTCAAGGGGAGTTTGTCTGACAAGTCAGGGAAGCTGAGAGCTGGTCTGAGGAGCTAGGCTGGAGGGTGGGCTGGGGCCAGCCTCTGGGAACAGGTCTGTGTTTTGATGGGCTCTGGGACTGTCTTACCAGTGTATTTTAGAATGGCGAGTGTGGGTCGGATGGTGTTCAGAACTTTCCAGAGGCTTCTCTCTTTAAAACTCTGTCCTTCTGGTCTAGGTTGTCTAGAACCTTCTCTCTTGAACTTCTTAGTCAAACCGCTCTTATTTTATTTAAGGCCTAACTCAAAGGTCGCCTCCATTATCAAACCCCCATGCATCATGGCCGGGTGAGTTTGGGATGAAGTGCATCACACTCTGCCTTAGATGACAGTCATTTTGGCTAGATTTTTCTTGGTGGCGGGAGTGAAAGCTCCCCAATGGTACTCTGGAGGTCAAGAGGCCCCAAGTTGGTGATTCTCAACCAACTGGACCTGCAGGGGCCTAAGAGGGTGATGCTGCTTGGGCCCTGTGATGCTGGACATACCCAGAACCACCAGACGTAGCCTCCAGCACCTCTAACCCAGGCCGGGGCAGGCCAGGCATTGCCCTAACCGCTATCCTGTCTCTTAGCCCTTGGGCAGGATGTTTTAATTCTCTTAACCCAGAGCTGTAAAATCTTTAATCTTTATGGTCTTGGGTCTGGAGAGACGGTACAGCTGGTAGAGTGCCTGTCCTGCAGGTGGTCGACCCGGGTTTGATCCGCAGCATCCCATAGGGTTACCCGAGCACCGCCAGGTGTGATCTCTGAGTACAGAACCAGGAGTAACCCCTGAGCATCAAAACAAAACAAAATATGGATGATGTTGAAGGGCGTAGCACTATCTCCTGCACTTAGTAGGAATCAGAGTAATGAATGGAAAAGGAACAAAATCTTGGACCTGACTCAGATTCCCGTTGCACGCGCTGTGTTTCATGTTAGAGCTTTTCCAGAGAGTTCTATAAAACAAAATTTATTTCCCCCCTAAGCGTAAGTGATTCAGAAGAAACTATGGCACTGAAACACAAACAAACAAGTTCTTCGGGGGACTCTGATGTGAGGGTGGAAAAATAGCCACAGAATCTTTGATTCACCAAAACCTCAAACACGACCAACCCGTCAGAGTTTAAGCTTTGGGGTGGGAGTTGCTAGGCTGCAACTATCAACTATCAAGAATCACGTACCCCTGACGTGATCTTGGAGGCACGGCTGCCCCCTGGCTGAGAGCATTTCAAAAGTCAGGGCTTTGCCGGCAAGTGCTTGGCACCCCAGGACTGAATGACGAACGGTACTATGAAGTCACAGGACTGTTGAAGCCCATCATGGTTAGTCAGCCGTTACCATGTCCAGGGGAGTCTGTCTGTCCTGCAACAGACTTAGCAAATTCTCGGGAGAGCCGGTGTTGGGATGGGGCTGAAATCTCAACAGGTGGGGGTAATTTTAGCGGGGAGGGTAAAATACAGACCTGCTTCGGGGGGTGGTGGTCTGATGTCAGCTGGCAAGGGGGTTCTCCATTCAGACTGCTTTTCCCGTCTCCCGTTGGGAGTTTGTGTGGGGTTAGTCGATGTCACGCAGCTTCTTCTTTTTTTTTTTTTTTGCTTTTTAGGTCAAACCCGGTGATACACAGGGCTTACTCCTGGCTCTGCACTCAGGAATTACTCCTGGTGGTGCTCGGGGACCATATGGGATGCTGGGAATCAGACCCGGGTTGGCTGCGTGCAAAGCAAACGCCCTTCCCTCTGTACTATCGCTCCAGCCCCTCATGCAGCTTCTAGAATGTGCTGGAACCTAACACCCCCCCCCCCCCGCCCGCCCAAGGCCGCCTATTAAAACTAACACCCACTTTAGTTCTGCCAGGTGGTGCATCTTACAAACACTTCTTTTCTTCTGTCTTTAGCTCACTTACCTTTTTTTTTTTTTTTGGCTTTTTGGGTCACACCCAGTGATGCTCAGGGGTTACTCCTGGCTCTGCACTCAGGAATTACTCCTGGCAGTGCTCGAGGGACCCTATGGGATGCTGGGGATCAAACCCGGGTCGGCCACGTGCAAAGGCAGCAAACACCCTCCCCACTGGACTGTACCCCGGCCCCTACCTGTAATGTTACTGCTGGTAGAGGCGTGGCTGGAGCTGGCTGGGCCACTGCAGGCAGCTTCTTGGGCAGGGAGAGGCCGAATGTGTGTGTTGGGTGGGAGAGGGGGCCCAGGGCCAACCATGGGGGTCCTTCTGATGGTGCCGTGTGGTCCTTCTAGGTGGGGCCCAGGCCTGCGACGGGAGCGTGGGACCGGAGCAATGGCAAGACCCGCCCCTGATCTTCAATGTCCAGGAGGACCCCGCAGAGACCGTGCCTCTGGCCAGCGGGAGCGCTGAGTACCGAGCTGTCCTGCCCAGGGTGGCCAAGGCCCTTGCTGAGGTTCTGCGGGACATTGCTAGTGACAACACCTCCAGAGCCGATTACTCCAAGGACCCCTTGGCTGCGCCCTGCTGTGACCCCCGCCGGGCTGCCTGCCGCTGCCCTGCCGGCCCCTAGAACCCTTGGAGTCCCCAGTGGAAGCAGCCACGAGCAGGTGGCTTATTTGTTCCTGCTGGTTCTACCCACTTCCCAGCTGGGTGTGCTTAAAAACAGGGGCCAGAGAGATGGTTCAGTAGGTAGTGCACTTGCCTAGCATGCGGCGCACCTGGATTCGATTCCCAGCACCCCCCTATATGATCCCCTGAGCCCACCAGGAGTGATCCCAGAGCCAGGAGTCAGCCCTGAGCACTGCCTGGTGTGCCCCCTCCCCGAAAAAAATAATCCAAAAAATATATATAAATTAAAAAGTAAATATTTATTCTGTGCCCAAGCCCTAACTTAGGGTGTCTGGCAGTGCTGGCCTGCTGAAGGGAGGCTGTGAGGATGAACGTGCAGATTCATGTAGGGGCTACACCAAGCAGTGCTCAGGCATCACTCCTGGCTCTGAGCTTGCGTTAGATGCCTAGCAGTGGCGGGGTTGGGGATGGGGGGTCTCTGCAGTGCTGCTTCCAGGCGAGCGCCTCCCTGCCCTACTGTCTGTCCGGCCCCAGCGTGCTTTTCAATGTCCCCAGTTTGGCCAGTGCAGTACAGATTTCATCCTCAGGGGTGCTGGGACTTGGCCCAAATTCTTCAGCCCTTGCAATTCCTGGAGGAAAGGCCAGGGCAGGGCCCGGGAGCCTGCATTTCTAGAGGTACCTGTAGGGGGTGCTTGGAGAAGCAGGGTTCTACCAGAGGGCCGTGGGTGGAAACAAAGGTGTCCAAATCTGAGCGCTGGAGCATCAAGTTGTGAAGTTCACAGTCCAGCAGGCCTCCCTCCACCCCTGTTTATTTTTTTACGTTTTTTTTTTTTTTTGTCACACCTGGTGATGCTCAGGGGTTACTCCTGGCTCTGCACTCAGGAATCACTCCTGGTGGTGCTCAGGGGAACCATACAGGTTGCTGGAAATTGAACCCTGGTCAGCCGTGTGCAAGGCAAATGTCCTCCCTGCTGAATTATTGCTCCGGCCCCTTAACCCCTCAATTTAAAGGCCAAACTAAATGTATCTTACGCACTTTAAAGAGTTCATCCTACAGGGTCCGGAGCGATAGTGCAGCAGGGAGGGCATTTGCCTCGCACTCAACTGATCCGGGTTCGATACCCGGCATCCCATGTGGTCTCCCGAGCACCGCCAGGAGTGATTCCTGAGTGCAGAGCCAGGAGGAATCCTTGAACATTGCTGGGTGTGATGCAAAAACCCCAAAGAGCTCTCCCTACAAACCGCAAAGAAATAAGTCACAAAGGAACTCCCATAATGCATTGCCATGATTTTATTATTAGTGTCCTAAAATGGAACTCCAAGGTAATAAACAATTTATTCCAATCACTGCAAAAATGAAACAAAACACCTTTGCTGTGCTTAAAATAGTCTCTGTCAGTATGTAATATACAAGAAATACAATTCCAAAAGGTTTGTCTATAAGTACATTTTTTTTTTTACACAGCAGACATAGAAAAAGGATGCCTCCCATTATTAAACATACAAAACTGTGGTTACAGGGCAGTTTGCTTAGTTTGCATGGACTTGGGGGGGAGTGGGGAGGAACGTATCTGAAGGAGCAGGATGTGTACCCGAAGCCCCTCTCCCCCACATCCGCAACACACACTGGCAGCTGGGGGCTGGCCAGTGGCTTAAGTGGGTGGCGCCCGGGACTCCTGCCCCCCAGGTGTGCTCACACAATCGTACTCCATTCTTCCACCTTCCTGGGTCTCTCCACAACCACCCGACAGGGTGTCCTGAGTTTCTGGGTGTGCTTCTCCTCACGAGTGCTTCGTTTTGCCCTTCTGACTTCCGCGGCACAAGTTTATCTACCGAAATCAAAACAGAAGGGCCTTACTCTCTCTGGGAAGAGGCCGGGGGCATTCGCATCAGAGCTAGGGTGCCTGCCCGGTCAGGGGGGCCTGCGCCCCGAGGAGATGGACACCCCACCCCACCCCCAGTCCTGGTTTCAGGACACCCATCCCGTGGAGCGTCTCGGTGGAGGTGGGGAAGTTCAGTTTCAAAACTGCATTTATAAAAAATGTATGTGTGTGTGTGTGTGTGTGTGCACAGGTAAGTCAGGCTCATCTTCGGTGTCAGTACAAAGTGCTCAGTCACTGTTAAGTCGGGAACCCCTTTGGTCCCGACTCCCTTGCTCACGGGAGAAATGCTAGTGGGGGGACCACAGGCCTGGACTCCAAGGCCGAAGGCAACGGGAGTGGTACACAGGAGTGGACGGGGGATGGCAGTGTTCCTGTGTTGCTATTGTTCATGGAACAAAGTTAGGTCCCCAGGAGGTCAGAGCAGCGGTACGCAGGGAAGCATCCGTCTGTCTGTGGACAGATGCACATACGGACTTCAAAGGCCATTCTTGATGCCTTCCTGCCTGTGGCCAATACCTCAGGGCCCGGGGGGGGGGGGGGGTGCCAGGGAGATGCAGTCAACCTGCATCCTTGTCTGGTTGGAAAGTTCTCTCCCAGCAGACACCAAGACCCCATCATGGGCTTTGGAGAAGTTTCGGCGCCACACCTGGTGATGCTCAGGGGTTACTCCTGGCTAAATACTCAGGAATTACTTCTGGCGGTGCTCGGGGTGGCAGAGGGGAGGGACTGAAAGGGATGCTGGGGATGGAACCTGGGTCAGCTGCGTGCAAGGCAAGCACCCTCCCCGCTGTGCTATTGCTCTGGCCCCATGGGCTTGGAGGTTTTGAAGGCACTAGCGTCCGGGGGTGAGCCCTGGATTCTCTTGGCGAAAGGTGGCATGGTTTGGAGGCAGGGCAGGGCATGGCTGAGGGCTGGGGGGGCAGCCATTCCAGCTGGGCAGTGCCGACAAGCAGGGTGAGGAGGAGATGAATTAGAACAGCCCAGGGGCATGTCTAGCCCTGAACCTATGGATGCCCCCTTCCCTCCCACTGCCCTGCCTGTGACTGTCTGTGCCCCTGCCGGGGCCGGGGAGGGAACATCTCCCTCAGGGCCCCCTCCAGGTACCAGGGCTAAGGCGGGAAGGTGCCCAGCACTGCACAGGCCCTGGGTCAGCGCCCCGGAACGGACTGTCCAGCAGCCCTCCCGGGGCCACGCAGGAATGTTCTGTGCCTACAAATACCCAGGCCAGCCCCGTGCCAAAGCCACTTCCTGGAGCCGAGCACTGTGGCTTCCTGGGGACCGTGCGGGCGGACGGCGGATGTGGGGGGTGTGGTGGAGGTGGAGGACGCCTCTTCCAGCTTGTTTTTAAGCGTCTCCAGGTTTGGTTTTGTTTAACTCCCAAAGCAATTACGGACTCACGGTCCTAGGACTTAATTCAGCTTTCTCTGGCCACCGGAGGTGCTTCCTGCCTGCCAGGAGCCAAAGTGCCCCTGTTATCTAGCTGGAGAGCGGCTGGCCGTGAGGCTGGATTTCATCACCAAGCGAGAGGAAGAATGGAAGGAGTGACCGAATCTTTGTTCAAAGCCCACGGACTCTGACCCAGAAGCCTGGTGGGCCGGGCAGTTGGGTGGGGGGGGGGGGGGGAGCAGAGTGAATGCCTGTCTTGTGAGCAGGGTGGGGCAATGGGGGTGGGCCTGGAGGTCAGCTGGGAGGCTGAGTGCTCTGCTCGGTTCCTCAAAGCTGGAACTTCCAGTGAATGTCCCCCAACTAGGTGCGCAGGGCACCGTCTCAAGCCCCTGCTCTCTGCGCCGCCGCCGTCAAGGCCAGGCTTCACCTGTCCCCCAGGTCGCCCCCTGGGGTCTCTGTTGAGCCTCCCTCAGACCTGCCGAGTCACACACAGCCCCCGCCCCGGCCCCTTCTGGCGAGGGTGAGTGCAGGGGAGAGGAGTGCCCCTTCTGCATGAGGAGAGCCTCTTGCAGGACACAGGGAAGACTGGGGGGGGGGGGGGATGCGAGTGTTCCTCTCTGGAGGGGCTCCTCTCAAGTGCTCTGGGGTGGAGACCGCTTGGGACGGGGGCCTTGGGGCAGCTCCCTGGGGAAGGGAGTTCAGGAGGTCCTGGGAACCACCCAGACCACCTCACGCACGCAGAGGGTCTTCTCTGTGCCCAGGAAAGCCGGGAGAAACCAAGCCAAGCGCCCCAGCAGCCTGGGGGAGCAGGCGGGGCCCTTCAGACCAGCTGAAGCCCCCCAAGGGCTCCCTGGAGGAGGCAGTGCCTTTTGTGTTTGGCTCCAAGGGAGGCAGAGTCCTCAGGAAGGGAGGCTGAGGCAGGCGCAGGCTTCGGCGCACCCCTGGCGAGCAGCGGCAGGGAGGACAGAGAAGCCAGGCCAAGGGCGCCGTGGTACTCCCGGAACAGTGCTCCCGACCCCGCCGCCCGGCCCCGTCCCGTCCCGGCTGCCATGTGAGAAGGATGAGTGGCCGGGCGGGCAGGCGGGCAGGCGGCTTCCGGGCCAGCCTCCTACGAGCCCCTGATGCTCACAGGGGGGAATTCCTCCTCATCGTCCAGGCACACGGGCCCCGCCGCAAACTCGTGCTCGGGGATGACCTCGCCGCGGAGCGCCCCGCCGTCCTCCGAGAAACCTGCGAACCCAGGGCGGGCGTGAGTGCAGCCGCGGGCAGGGGTGGAGGGCCCGGGGACCCCCTGCCCACTCCCCACCAGCAAGGGCCCCCCCCGCCCAAGGTGCCTGGCAAGCTGGGCCCACCCACCCTTGGAGCCTGGGTTCTACGATGCAAAGTGACAGCTCCCTTGGGAGCTGGACTGTCCCCGGCGCTGGCCTGCCCAGGCCCCGGGGAACGGTGCTGAGGAGAACCTGCACCCCCCCCCCCCCCCCCCCCCGCCATTCTACCCCCGTGCTGCTGGGTGCCTGCATGCCCGGGCTGGCCCTGCCTGCTCACCTGGCACTGTGGAGGCCGGGGAGGTGCCCTGCCTGGCGACCGTGGCTGCGTAAGACTGAGGTAAGGATGGTTTGAGGTCACTGTCTTCGTTCTCGGTCACGGCCGAGCCCAGCAAGCTAATCGTGGCCGTGGAAAGGGGAGGGAGAGGAAGGAGGAAGGGAAAGAACAAACAAAAAAGGATTATCACATTCAGTGCCCTGCTGGCCGCCTGCATTCAGCGACCTGCTGGGTCAGTGGGAACAAGAAGGACCTAAAATGACCAGGACCTGGGGCCCTGGAAGAGCCAGGAAGACACCTGCTTTGCTCATGGTCAACCTGGGGTTGGATCCCTGGCACCCCGTAGGGTCCCTCAAGCCCCCCACCAGGAGTGATCCCTGAGTGCAGAGCCAGGAGGAAGCCCTGGACACCGCCGGGTGTGGCACCGAAGCCCAAAGCACGAGCCACGGCTCCTCCACCGCCTACAAGACGCCGAGACAGGTCCGGGGGATGACCCCGAGATCCTGGCTGGTGGGC